CCTCTGGTCACTTTATCTCAGAAGGGTACCCGCCAGATGGCAGCCAGAGCTCTCCTGTATGAGGTGCCTGTCCAGTCAGGATACATGGGGATCAGGGAGCCACTTGAGGAGGCAGTCTGTCCCTTGTCAGAGTTTGAGCACATTGCTGGGAGATCCATTGCTCCCTTCACAACTGCTGGCAGGGACGTTTAAGTCGGCTGAAGCTGTACCCACAACTGCCCCTTTTCCCAAGTGCTCTGTCTCAGGAAGTTGGGGGGCTTTAATTATAAGTGTCTGACGGGCTGCTGCTTTTTTTCAGAGATGCCCTGGCCAGCGAGGAGGGAGTCTAGTGACATAGTCTGTCTTCAGTTGGCCTTGCTGAGCTGAGCTGCCATGGGCTCTGCCCAGTTGCTGTGTAAACTTCCTGGTGACTGTTTACATAGGCAAGGTTAAAACTGCCTACCTGAGCATCAGTAATGGTGGACGTCCCTCCCTGCACCGGGCTTGAATGTCCCAGATCGAGCTCAGACTGCTGTGCTGGCTGTGAGAATTTTAAGCCAGTGTATGTTAGTTTGCTGGTCTTTATGGGGATGGGACCTACCAAGCAAAATCATTTGGCTCCCTGGCTTCAGCCCCCTTTTGCAGGTGAATTTGCAGGTGAATTAGCAGTTGTCTCGCTGGCATTCCAGGTGCCACTGGAGCATGAAGAAAAGAAAAAGAATAAAAAAGACAAAACTGCTGTAGCTAGCTCGGTTTCTTCCCAAACAGCCATCCAGTTTGTGCTGGAAACCTGAGGCGCTGGTATTGTAGGCACCAGAGGGGATCTCCTGGTCTGTAGCTTGTGAAGACCGTGGGAAAGGTGCAGTATCTAAGTCAGACTGCCAGAGTGCCGGGAAAAGTCCCCAATGGCGTCGCTTGCCTAGGAGAGGAAGTTCTCAGGACCTTTGCTTCCCAGTTGAGGCGACACCCCACCCTGCTTTGGCTAGCCCTTCTTGGGCTGCACCCAATGTGTAATCAGTCCCAGTGAGATGAACTAGGTACCTCAGGTAGAAATGCAGAGATCATCTGCCTTCTGTGTCACTCTCGCTGAGAGCTGCACACTGGAGCTGTTCCTATTTGTCCATCTTCCCAGAAATCCAACACTTTTAATTAAAAGAGCAAGTGGTCCTTTCCAGAGTTTCCTAAATCATGCCACAAGCAACCTGTCAGATAGGTCCCATGCAGGCAATCTAGGGATTGTGGAAATCCAATCCCTAGATTGGCTGCATCGTTGAAAATGCTCATGATAAGTAAATCAGTTATTGGGGAATTTAAGACCTTATGGGGGAAAATAGAGAAGCCTTGAATTGGTGTGGGTATGGGGAGGTCAATCTGCTTAGGAGTTGGGCTTGGATTTTGTTGTTGCTTTCATTACCTTCACTGTACTACAGGCTTCAAATCCTTCGAGGAGAGGGTTGCAAGACCTTTTTCTGAGGGTGGGGCTGGGGTGCTAGAGTGTATTTCCCAGCATCTGTGCTTCCCCCTCAGCTTTCAGCTTTCTCTGCCAGTGTACCCCACAAATGGCATCTATCTCCAAGCTGTTGCCTCCCCTGGTGGCAGCCTGCTGTCTCTTGTTTCTCAGCACTGGCCTGGTTGGCAGGGCAGATTCCCTATTTTTGTGGGCCTGCCTTAGGCCGAGGCTGGACCTGTGCACCTAGGCTTTGGACAAGGGGCTTTCTCAGTGTTCCTGCCCTCCATCCATGTGATAACCAAACTCTGCCTTCTACCTGTGGTGAGTCCTGGGCCAGTGTTTCCTGTGTTCTGATGGTAGGAGACCTCTCTCTGTCCTTCAGCCGTGCCTCCATCTTTCATGTGAGGCCTGTGGAAAAGTGTTAGCTTAGGAGTGTGAACTGTCCTTGGGTCTGAAGTCTCAGACAGTTCCAGACTGATAGCTTGTGCACCTTTGGCCTTTACCAGTACATGATTATAGCTGGTACCTTCTTAACAGCTGGTGTGATGGCAGTCTATTCTCTCTGGGCCCTGCCACAGCCGAGACTGTTCTTGTGTCCCTTTTCTCCTTGGAGGGGCTGGTTCCTCTTTTGAAATCAGATTACTTGGTTAACTTTTGACTTCACCTCTATGCTGACTCAAGAAAAGCTACGATTTGGTGGCTTATCTATCTGGCTTTTTCTTGTTATGACGGGAACAGTGTTTTCTGTAGCTTTCTATGTCCTAAGCATCAGAGTAACGCTCCCAAGGACAGGCTTAAAAAAGATTTTTCTCCTCCTCTGAACTCCCAAGATCTTTATTAGTACCAATTAGGCTCTTGTACTTTTTAACCTATATTTGTCTAATTTTCCCTATTAAATGTAAGCTATATGAGGTCTCATGTTAATAGCCTTTCTACCCTCAACAGTGCCTGGAACAGTCTTACATGTAGTACAAGTACTCAGTCAGTTGTGTTGGTGGGTAAAAGGGCTTCCCCAAGAAGTGGATGGGAAAGTCCTGAAGAGGTGAATGGTTAGGAAAATGAGGTTATTGTTCTAAGTGGAGGGAGATAACAATAGTTGTAGCTTTCTCTCTTTTTGAATCTTTCTCTGTATGTGAGCATTTGGTATAATATCCATGTCCAGATTAGAAATCTTAATTGAATTTATAAAACATCAACAGCCAATGTCAAAGAAGACACTGCAGGAGACTGCTTTTCGGAATGCAGCTGAACCTATTGAATACACATCTCCAGACAAGTTTTGACTTGAGCCAAATACATTCTTGTGAAGCAAATTCTGCTTTTCCTATAAATGTCATTAGAGAAATGCTTCCCAAAGAAAAATTCGCAGCAAGCAGATGTGAAAACTCTTGATGAGTAACGACTAAGGTAGTTAGGTGTGTGTGTGTGTGACACACATAAAATATCATAGCAGTTCTCCACCTCTAGGACTTTGTGTATGTCATTAGCTGTTGTGACCTTCCAACCCATGAGAATTTTCCTCATGCCTGAAGATTCACTTAAGTCCACACTTTCAGATCTAGAGATATCTTTATTTTCCTCTTGGCTGGGTCAATCTGACTTTGGCTGCATGATCACACATCACTACTGGGTGCTACCATTTTTAGGTTAGAATATGTGACTTTCCTAATGTAAAAAAAAAAATCAGGTAGTCCTGTAGCTGATCATTAAGTTAAACTTTATATACAACTTTTCATAAACTGAGAAATATCTTTATTAAGATGCAGCATCTGTGTCATTACTAAGTTACTATAACAACAAAGATGAAATATTGCCCAAGTTGGTCTCCCCCCGCCCCAACCTCTCCTCCCAGTTTTGTGTGAGCGTTTAATTGGGAGCTTTTTCCATGGTGATTTTCAGCTTCCTTACTTCTAGGCACATCTCTCCTCCTAATACTGACCCACTTTGGATGATATCTGATTATCAGTTTTCCCACTGTGCTGTTTAGAGTCACGTATTTCCAAGTAAATGAACTGAGGGTCATGTAGTAGATAAGGGCAGGATGTTTTATTACCCACACTAAATTACAGATGTTGGAAAACAAAGCTGAAAACTCTTGTGTATTTTTGTCTATATTGACATCTGAATGCTCAACCAATTATTGCTTTTTTGGGGGGGTGGGGAGGGAGGTTAGAGATGGAGTCTCACTGTTGCCCAGGCTGGTCTTGAACTCCTGGGCTCAAGCAGTCCTCCCACTTCAGCCTTCTAAAGTGCTGGAACTATAGGCATGAGCCACCACACCCCTATTACTGCCTTCTTTAAAAATCTTTTTCAGGGGCATAGATGTTAATTAACCCATCTGGTTGTTGTGTTTTGGTAGAGAAGCTGTCAGAGGGAATGACATCAAAAAGGAAACAAGAATGTTTAATAGAACCAGGAAAAAAGCATCTGTACAATCTAAAGTACCTACGGATGGAATAATCTACAGACAAGGCCAATGTAACCGGAACAGGATATTGTAATAAAACCATCCAGTTACCATCAATTTATATCGAGGTAGGTGCTGAGCAAACTGAAGCAGTTTGTGATCCTTCTTCCAAACTAGCCACCCCTGAGACTACTACCCCACCCTTGTCACCACCTCCAACAGCTGTCTCACCAGAGTTTGCCTATGTCCCAGCTCAGTTTGCTGCTCAGATATTAAGTCAAGTTTCATCTATTCATTCTGATCAATCTGATGTTTTAATGGTGGATGTGGCAACCAGAATGCCTATTGTTATCAAGGAGGTGCTGACCTCAGAGGCTGCTGAAGATGTCATGGTGGCTGCTCCTTTTGCATGTTCTGGAAAGGTGCTAAAAGTGCAGGTTGTGGGCCAAAAGTCTGTCCATGTAGATTTGGGTTATACCTAAAGAAAATGAGGCTGAGCCATCAACAGCTTCCTCAGTCTCTTTGCAGGATGAACAAGAACCTCCTGCTTATGATCAAGCTCCTGCAGTCCCTTTGCAGGCTGATAACTGGGGGTTATGTCAACTGTTTGTATATCATCTGTCTATAACAATGTGCCTGTGACTGAAGGAGTTATGAGTTATTTTTATTGAGCAACTGCCAGAACAAATAGTTAACCTTTTTACTGATCAAGTTGTTTGTCTTAAAATGAGCAGTCACCACCAGTTAGTCCCAATCTGTAGAGTCTGTAAAACTTGCACAGTTGGAGGAGAATGCAAAATATTCCTAGTATAGGTGAAGGCAGAAGGAACAGCTCTGCTCTCTGACACATCTGTGAAAGGTCAGCCTGAGGCACCTACACAACCCCGGGATGCAGAGGGCACTATCAACATAGGCTCTGAGAAACCTCTGCACCTTGAAGTGGAGATTGCTTCAATAGTCTCTGACAATCCTGGGCAGGTGGAGTCTGGGGAAAGCTCTGCACGCAAGGACATGGAAGGCAAACCTGTGCTCTCTGGGGAAGCTGCAGAAGCAGTATACTCCGGTACATCTGTAAAGTCATCTAGTGGCCCCTTCCCCCTGCACCAGAAATCGAACCAGAAGGGGAAGCAACAGCTGAATAAGGTTTGATGAAGCCAGGTAAGATAATCGGATATTCCCATTACAAATTGCATTTCATGTGACATCTGTATTTCAGGTAGCCATCTATGTAGGCTCCCTGCAGACTGGTCCGTCTTTTTTTCAATGTTTTTTAAATGCCAATGCTATTTAAAGGCTTTGTTGTATTTGAGATTCTACTACAATGAGAGGAATTATTTTAAAGTGATGTCCCCAAAGCCTGGCCTCAAAGTTTGGTCATCTAGCACTTTAGTGTTATTCTTTTGGACATATTATATAATCAACAACATTATAGCCTGTTGTCAGGTACAAAATATATTCATGTAATCTGAATATGCTGATTGCAAAACTCTAATTAAGGGGTGTTGGTTTGAAATTTTCCTCTTGTGAATCTAAAGTTAAACTACAGCAGTGCATTTACATAGGCTATGACATTTTAAAAAGTGAAAAAATGGTAGTGTGACCGCTTTTGCACTGAGTCAGGAGAGCTCTGTAACCAGGTTTGGGGTGCTGGGCCATGTGTTTGTTTTCTGCCTGGGAACTTCCTGCAGCTGAGGGAGCAACTTCATAGCTAGATGGAGAGGGGAAAGGTCAGGGGAGCACGGAGGTATCAGCAGCAGAATGGATAGCCCGGCACTTGAACAGCAATAGATACAGTTCACATAATTGGCTTCCTTTGATCACTTCCCTGACAAGTGACAGAAATCAAGCTGCTTTCTTGGCTGCTGAACTATCACCATGTTTTCCTGTGACACAGAGATGATGTGACCTTCATCTCGATGTAACTATGGCATTTGGACTGCTCACTCCCTGCCTCATGGATAATTGTAGGGGCCATTCTCTTTTTAGGGCTAAAAGGGACATGCATGAGCCAATCACCCCATTCCTTTTGCAGAAATTCTCTTAACCCTGACTCTTAACCAAACCAGAATGATTCAAAAAGTGTTAGCAAAGCAGGTGTTCAGAAAAGATCACATTTTGTCTGGCAGTGTGACAGGGATTCTGCACAGCAGGAAAGGCAGAGGACAGCTCTGGGAGTGGAGCGTGTAAGACTGGTGCTACTTACCATTATGCACGCCAGGTAACTGGTTATGGCCCTGGCGGCTTTGGTACCACTAGGACTTCTTTCTTTGAAAGGACATTTTAAATACTTCAGAATATATCAAGTGGCAAAATTAGTATATTTGAAATTTTAAAAGAAACCACACTTTTGGGGAACTTTATAAAACCTTTATTTAGCATCAGGTAGATTATATCATTTGTTAACTTCAAGACAGCAATTAAAATCATGTACTGGCAGCTACCTAAGGCCCCTGGGAGCAATATGTCTGTCTGGGGTTTGGGTGGATAAATACTATAAGACTAATGTACTCCAATTAAAGGGGTAAGGCTACTGTACAAGTCTCCACACATATTTTAAGTACACAGGTGCCTCGCAAACTTGAAATGCAGAAGATATCCTTTTATATAATTTGGTACTTACATAAATGAGTGCAACTTAATTTCTCTCGTGGTATTTGCCACTGGAAGTGGAAGCATTGAACAAGGTTTGTCATTATGCAATGGTCGTTAAAATCTCTATTTCTAGGGCATTTTTGTGACTTGCTAGATTTTATACATATTTTCAGTTCAAATGTAAACAAACATTTTCATGATACTGACTGTAGAAAAGTAAATTCAGAACACTAAGTAAACGAAATACTTTACTAGTTTAATTCTCTAGAATTTTCAAATCAGAAAAACCTATTCTGAATATTCAGGCTTTTTTCTTGTTGGCAGTTGGAAGAGGTAAAATTGGGAAGATTAGTGTGAATGAAAGCCATTTTATCAATGGAGTCTTCACAAAAGACCTGTACATTAGACTTCTACATTTGAGCACATAAACATTGTATAGGAGGAGAGTTCTAAATATGTCAAAGGTTACAGCTAAAACATTCAAGGATGACACCATAAAAATATTCCCCAGCAGTTTTACCTCTATATAAAATAGTATTCCAAGTAAGTACATTTTGTAGCAAATTTTTTTCCTAAGACTTTCATTACCAGTATCAGCTTACACCCTACTTTCGTTGGGCGAAATGTGGTGATCTCATGAGTGTTTTTTCTTTTTTTAAACATAACTAGAGGCTGGGTACAGTGGTTTATGCCTGTAATCCCAGCACTGAAAGTCAGAGGGCGAGGCAGGTGGATCACGAGGTCAAGAGATCGAGACTGTACTGGTCAACATGGTGAAACCCCATCTCTACTAAAACTACAGAAAGTAGCTGGGCATGGCAGCACATGCCTGTAGTCCCAGCTACGTGGGAGGCTGAAGCAGGAGAATTGCTTTAACCCAGGAGGTGGAGGTTGTAGTGAGCAGAGATTGCACCACTGCACTCCAGCCTGGGCGACAGAGCAAAACTCCGTCTCAAAACAAAGTAGAAACCAAGGGAAAAAATTTAAAAACAGAGGTTTAAGACTTGCTTTAGAGATTAGCCAAACACCCTGACCTGTATGCACTTTACTAAATGGCAGACAAATTGAAGTACTTTCTGTCCCAGTAGCTGCCAGGGTAAATCCAGTCCTGTGCTCCACTGCAGGGATTAGGACCTTGATGGAACCACCTGTTAAAAGAAAAAGGACAAGACAAAATCACACGCTGTTTGTTCACTAGCTTGCAGTATTTTTCTATTGCATCAATTGATTCTGTGAGTGAGATTTCCAAAGAGATGCTGAAGTGGTGCTGTTTTTTTGCTTAGGGAACAGGTCTGTAGAATAATATTCCAAAAGGGGTAAAAGGAAACGAATTTCCCATCAGCATCTAGCAAGCTCCTAGACAGAAGCAGGGTCTTATAATAGTATCCTCTAGCCAGGCTCTTGTTTTCCACAACAAGGCATTCTTTTAAATAGTAAGGAATAAATTAGGATAAGGAAATTAACATTTACAGCATACCTACAGCAGTATGTAAAGGATCTGGTTCAGAGTAAATGCCCCTCAAACTCTTAAAGCTCCATTTTACACATGAGAAGCTGAATGTCTAAGCAGTTAAATAACTTGCCCAACCTAGTAACTGATGGCAAATTTTAGGTTTAATGTTTAAGACCGTGATTTTTCTAATATACCATGATACACATAATCCAAAAGACATGAATAGACATTTCTCAAAATAAGACATAGAAATAGCCAACAGGATATGAGAAAATCTCAACACCAGTAATTATGAGGGAAATATGAATAAAAACCACAAGATACCATCCTGTACCAGTTAGAATGGCTCTTATTAAAAAGAAAAAATAATATGCTGGCAAGGATGCAGAAAAAAGCAAGCTCATATACTGGTGGTGAGAAGAAATTACAACAGCCATTATGGAAGACAGTATGGAGATTTCTTAAAAAACTTAACTACCAGACAATCTGGCACTCCCACTACTGAGTATCCAAAGGAAAGGAAGTCAGTGTATCAAAGGGATACCTGCATCCCCATGTTTATGACAGCATGATTCACAATAACAAAGACATGGAATCAACCTGTGTCCATCAATGGATGAAAGTCAGTGGAAGTAAGTTTTTTTCCAGGCCTGGAATAACTCTGCAGGGTTTGTGTTAGATAGGCCCTTGCTCTGGGGTCACAGTGTCTGGCATCCCTACCTCGTCAGCATACAGCAGCCTGCCTAAGGGCTCAACCATGTACCTTGTCTTCCAGTCCTCTTCTGACTTGGACCTGTTTTTGCAGGCTGCTCTTTGTTTTTCCTCCACTATGTTGATCTAAAATAAGAACATCAATACAAACCATTAACACTATGCAGAGGATACCAGGCACAGTATTAAGCACAATAACTTCGCAAGACAACCATCTACATGTATCAGCATCATCTCCCTTTTGTCAGAACACAAATACCAGAGTCAAATATCAAGCAAAAATTATAACAGATACCCGGTCTAGTAAGAGGCCGAGCTGGTATTGCAGATGCAGCATCTCTTTGACAGCCTATGCTCTCAACAACCTTGCCTTTACCAAAAACAACCTACTTATTCTTAAGGCCAAAACAACTGTGTTAAAATCCTTCAGTGAAAAATTGGTGTAAGAACTAAATAAATATGAAATTGTTCTAAATTCTTAGACCTCCTAGCACTCTTTCAGATTCCATTCTTAAGAAATTTAAACAGTTTTTTAAAACCCTGTTGCTCTGTCTCACTTTTTGTCCACTGTGGCACTATGACATGTTGGCTGTGATGACATCGTAAGAGGAGAGGATGTCGAGCTACATCCCTGGCTTGCAGATGCCACTAGTCTCTCCCAAGAAGTGACAACCAAAGTCTTCAGACTTTGCTACATGTCTCTTTGTTGGGGGAAATGCCCCCCCTTTGAGAACCGCTTAGTTGGAAGAAATTTAACACTGTACGATCAAAATGGGCTGGGTGCAGTGGCTTATGCCTGTAATCCCACCATTTTCGGAGGCTGGGATGGGTGGATCACCTGAGGTCAGTAGGTCCAAGACCAGCCTGGCCAACCTGGTGAAACCCCATTTCTGCTAAGAATACAAAAATTACTCGGGAGGTGGTGGCTGGTACCTGTAGTCCCCGTTAGGAGGCTGAGGTACGAGAATAGCTTGAACCCAGGAGGCAAAGGTTGCAGTGAGCTGTGATTGTGCCACTGCAACCTCTGCCAGCCTGGGAGACAGAGTGAGACTCTGTATCAAAAAAGAATGTTCTAACTGATACCTCATTTATCCTGATGTGATTATTACATATTGTATACCTCTATCAAAAGTATCCCACATACTCCTTAAGTATATGCACCTAATTAAACCCACACACAAAAACATTTAAGTTATAATTAATCAAGGGGAGGCCACACTCTGAGGATGACAAGGTGCTAGGTAAGTTCTGAAGTAGACAGTGACATAATTAAAATATGCCTCTGGCCATCTCCAGTATATTAAATTCTCAGGGGAATATTATTGCAATAATATGAGCTAATAATGTCTGCTCAGATTTTTAAAGTTAATGAATTTAAATTGAATGTTAATTCAAACTTAATCTCTAAGACTAAAAATGCTGGTACCCCATTGATTCTAACAATCACCAGTAATATAACAAACCATCCTTCCCCAACAAATGAGTCTTAACTGGTAGCTTTGGTGGATGTTAGTTACCTATCTCTCTCCATTTTCCGTGGCTCCGAAGTCAGGCCATAACCTGCAGTCTGTCTTGGGAATCACTCTCCCTGTCTTTGTCTACTTCATTCAAAACCATTGCAAAACGAGTAAAATTATACATCTGAAAAGCAGCAAAAGGCATAATGCAAAATGGAAAGCTCTATAAGTAGAAGAGGGCTGATTTGACAATGACCCCCTCCTTTTTGTGGTAACAATGGTCAGTCTTTCTCAGATCATACATATCTAAATATTTTCACCAAAATCTGCACCCTCTGTGGGTATCTCTCTCAAAAAAAATCTCAAAGCAAGCTTTGCAGAATAAGTATCCTCTATCATGATCCACTTTAATCAGAACTCTAAGCAAAAACCAACATTCTTTTATATTCATTAACTCTTTCCTTGCTGGGTCTGGAGGACTGGTACTGACTAGGTTGCACCAACTTATATTTAACAAGGACCAATTTTATGGCTGGTTATTTAAGAAGCCCCAGTGAACTCCTACACAACACATCCTCCCAGCTAGATGCCAGAGGGATGGACAGCATGATGCACTCATAATGCCCTGAGCTCACGCAAGAAGGAAGCACCTGGGAACCACTGGGGACTCAGAATGCCAACCTGCCTGTCTCCATGCTGCCTGGGCTGGCCCTGCACATGCCAGGAAAGACCATCACAATGCCTAACACAGACAGTGAGCCCACAGGCAGCAAGCCCCATCTCACCTGGGCAGAATTTTGAGGCGATGGGGCTATCTGCCACAGTGAAGAGGGAGAAGAAAATAACATAATTAAAGAAAAATTGCCGGAAAGAGAAGCAGAAATTTTTCTTTTATAAGCAACCTTCCCTGAGTCCTTCCCCCTCCCATAGAATTGCATCCTGCTTTGCAAGTTTTTTAAGTTTACAAATTCTTGTATTCTAGTTCCCTAGAGCTGATAACTAAGTTTCTGTAATATAGTGAGGGTCATAAGAATGCCCAAGCAGGCTGTACTCCCACCTTCTCAGCATTGTAACAGAAGGCAATAGATAAGGCCCATGCTAGAATCCTTGAGCTCTACAGATAGCAAACATCTGGGTTGCATAGCAACAGTCATATATGTAAGCCCAAGTTAGGTGCCTGATGTTGCTTGATAAATGGCCTTTGTTTTACATTTGCAAACACGTTTGAGTGCCACTATGTACTTCAAGTATAAAAAGTCAAGCCCTGTCTTTGTTAACATCTCAGCCCTTTTGGATCCAAATCCAAGCTGGGCCAGTGTACACCTAAAATAAACTCCTTCTGCAACCTCAATGGTCTCTCCAGTCTCTAAAATTCTGCAGCACTTCTGGGACTCATCCAGGATTGGAGACAATAGGCTTGCTGTCTCCTTTGCCTTTGCAGGGCCAGGGCCCCGGGCCAAGGGATACCTGAGACCCCAGGCACCACCAGGAGGCCTCTCCCAAGAAGAAGATTGGCTCTCTTGAGCCCTGGTGCCCTCCCCCAGACAGCACAATGGAATTGGGAAAAGGCTGCAGGACAACTCCAGGATCACAGCGCTTCAAGAACCACAGTAAGACATTTGAGGCTTGAAGAAGGGGAAGGAAAAAGGGAATGGAAGTCCACAGCTCCAGTCACCTTCTGGGGATGTAACTAACCTGACCTAGCAGGGCTAGGGGAAGCAAGAGTGGCTAGCTGATTCAAGTGCAACTCACCTAACTAGAACCTGATCACTTCCAAGGAAGTGATTACTAATCCAAACCAGTGGGGCTAGGGAAAGCGAGAGTGATTCGCCAATTCAAAGGAAAATCACATACCCATCAACACTGGAAGCAAGAGTGGCTTGCAAGGCCAACTTAGTAAGGAAGCCAAGTAGCAGGAGTGGAAAACTGGGAAGAGGGGGGTGTTTGGGTGTTTGAAAGTAAAAGAAAGAGACGGCTCCAGGAGGAGCCAAAATGGGGAGTGACGTGTGAGAGCTGCAAGTCCCTTAGTGTGGCCTGCACGCTCCAAGTGAGTGGGGCCAGCTGCAGTCAGGGGCAATCCTGCGTATGGCTAACAGGAGCTGCCCTACAACTGCAGCAGTTGTAGGGGCATAAGGTACTCTCCTAGCTAGAACGGCATCTGAAATACCCCCTCCTACTCAGATCAGGGTGATGGCTTAACCCGTCTGAAGTGAAAAGAAAGGTGTCTAAACCTACACCATTGGAATTCATGTTAAGGAACTTTAAGAAGGGTTTTGGAGGAGATTATGGTGTCAAACTGACTTCTCAGAGGTTAAGAACTCTGTATAAACAAGATTGGCCTTCTTTCAGTGTCACGTGGCCCGCTAGAGGGACAATAGCTTGTGAGGTGGCTGGCTGTGTGTATAGAGTAGTAACTGGGATCAGAACAACCTAGACCTCCTGATCAATACCAATACATTAACTCCTGGCTAAATGTGGTCCAATTAAATCCCAAGTGGCTGCAGCCCTGCCAGGCAGTATACTATAAAACTTTAGTTGCTGGAGCAGAGCCAAAGGTAGTAAAGGGAAACCACAGTGCTCCTCACCCACAGAGTAGGGGAGGGAGCACTGATAAAACAAAAACCCATCCTACAGGCCCCTCCAGAGGAGAGAGAATGCCCACCCACCTATGTGTCAATACATCCATCCTTGGCTAACCTAAGGCAAGGTGATAGGGGAAGCACCTGGAGAATCAGATTCAGACAGAAGTGACATTCCAATGTCATCCCTTAGCAAGGAATGAAAAAGCATGTCCATGGAAGTCAGGGAAAAGGAAAGGGACAATTCCCTAGTCAGCTCCAGTTTGGCTGCACCCAAGCCTTACAAGTGTCTCTCCTGGAGACTAGGTCCCAAATTTACCATGACGTTGAGGGCCAGGTCAGATGGGGAGAAAGGCTCTTTACTCACGAGCCCTTCTCCACCACTGACCTCCTAAATTGGAAACAACATACTCCTTCTTACATGGAGAAACCCCCAAGTCATCACAGATTTAATACAATCCATTTTCTTAACCCACAACCCCACATGGGCAGACTACCAGGAGCTCCTGTTAACACTGCTTAATACAGAGAAGTGGCATAGAGTAATCCAGGCAACTCTCCAGTATCTGGAGAGAAACGCCCCAGTAGGTACAGTTGATGTCTGCCAATATGCGGAGGAACACTATCCATTGATCCCTAATGGGACCCCAATGAGGCAGAGGGGTAACAATGCCTGTAAGCATTTCGGGAGGCACTTCTAAATGGAATCAAGGCAGAAGGGAAGAAGGCCCTGAATATGGGGAAAATTTAAGAGGTCCGTCAGAAGGCAGATAAGAGCCCCAATGAGTTTTATGAGAGGCTGTGTGAGGCATATCAACTCTACATCCCATTGGACCCAGAAGTGGCAGGAAATCATTATATGGTGAACACAGCCTTTGTTAGTCAGGCACAGAGTGGTATCAGCAGGAAACTCCAAAAGCTAGAAGGGTCTAAAGGCATGAATGCCACTCAGCTCACACAGGCGGCCCACAAAGTGTTCATTAACTGTGAGGAGGAGGCCAAATGGGAGCCCAAAAGAGAAGCGGATCAGAAGCTTGAAAGGAAAGCAGATATGCTGGCCACAGCTCTCACAGAAAGCGGGGCAAATGCA